CGTGCCAAGAGTTTCTTTTATTAAAGAAAGACGCGGTTGAAGATTCAAAAATGTAAAGTTTAATGCCATTTTCGGGTGAGAACTTTTTTAAAAATATTTTATTTTATTTTTTCCTTTTAACAAATTTTTTTGGTATGGGTGTACAAAAAAGACATAATTCTGATATCTCGCTTTGACTGACTACTATTAAATATCGGAATAGTATTATTATATTAATTTCATATCTCCCGTTCAGCCAATTTTTGTGTCATCAAAGCACTATTTTCTAATCCATCGGTATGTTTTTTTTTGTTTTTTGTTTTTTGTTTTTTGGGTGTCTGTTTTCCTGCATTTATTTACAGACTAGAAAGATCTGTGAAAATTTCACTGTTTTCCTATTTAAATTTTCTGATGTTAAGTTAATTCTTAACTTAACATTTAAACATTGAATAATCTCCTGGCGAGTTCTACAATAAAATATCTGTAGAAATTCCCCTATCTGGTCGTTAAATATTTGAGCTTAACAACTTTAATAAAATATTGCAATAACAATCATAAATATGAATGATGGTCGTTATTTTAAGAAGTAAGGGGATACAAATGAAAAGATTTGAAATTGAAAACATTTTTAATTTCACTGTCAACAGACGTTAAGCACATCTTTCTTTCTTTCTTTCTTTCTTTCTAAATCCCCATCTTGCGAATATTTCTCTTAAATAATTTTAAAATAATTCAAAAGACGATGTTATTTTATTTAATTTATTGTAATAGAATTTTTGACGTTTGCTTTACTCACTTTCCGTCCTTCGATAAAGTGTGTCTGAAGAATGACGTTTTATTTAATTTTTCTGTTCTTTTTACTTTTCGCGCGCTTTTTCGGACAGGGGTGGAATTAGAATATTTCTACACTGTCCTTTCACCGTGTGTAAATAAAACGTTATTTTCATTGTTTGAAGTAAAAGGTAAGCATTAATTTACAAACTCCAGTTAATTAATCCTTAAATTTACTAATAGACTTTCAAATACATCTCTAAGAGAAATACTGTATTTTAAAGAAATTTTTTAATTTGTTGTTAACATTTTTCGTATACAATACTGGTTAGATGAATCAATAAGTGGCGAAAAAACGTGCCAATGTTTTTAAAATGCCTAAAAAGATCATTTATATACGGAAATTAATTTTACTTTTAATTCGGATTAGCTTTAGACCATTATCTTTCAAACAAACCGAAAGTTAAGTTTAGAAAAGGCATTTAAATTATTTAAAATGGGTTTCCGTTTTTTTTTAGAAAATCCATGGCGGTACCGATTGTTTTGGAAAAAGTATTGCCAAAATCGGATAATTGTCGGACTTTGATAAAACTTTCACGACTTATTCAGAAATTAATGATTTTTTTTTTCCTGTTTAGGAAATCTTGTTAAAAGTGAAAAATGCCATAAAATTAAGACATTATTAATTAGAAATATTTTTAGTTGCTTTTATGAATGAAATATGTTATGGACACTTTAATCTTTAAGTAATTATTTTTTGGTGAATAATGAATTTTTACAAGAATTGTTTTCATTCTTTTTAAATTTCAATTACAGTAAATTTATAAATTGATTATCTATTCAAATCCTGTATTTGTAAGCCAAGCGATATTGTTATTAAATAAAGACTGTAATTACTAAACATAAATGGGAAACTTTACTACAATTCACTGAATCCCAGTATTTTAAAGAAAAAAAATGGATTTTTTGTATGTGTGTATAAATGTTCTGAGTGTTTTAAATACGGATGTCTATACACGACTTTATCAGAAAATAAAAGCAGTAACTATAGTAAATTTAAAACTTATTGGTAATCTTCGTAAGACTAAGTCAAAGTGCCTAAAATTCAATAAAATATTAGAATATTTAAAATATTTTTAATTTTTAGGATTACTGAGTAGTTAAAAACAATAAAAATTGCGTTTACATTCTATTTAACCTGTAATTATAGTACAAGTAAATCTTCAAATATCAGGTTATCGATAAAGGTATCAGCACCTCATAAAAACACCCACCTCACAACCCCCCACTCCGTGTCAAAAATACTTTTCTTTGATATTTTAAACTGAAAGCAATATTTGTTTCCATTCAGATTAATTAAACTTTAAATCCGTTAATGTCCTCCAAATAAAGTTTCAGAAAAGTATATTTTATTTTTGAAAGATTTTTTTTAAAGAGAATTATATTGTGCTGACAGATTTATCAATTTAAATGCTGTTTGAAATGCAGCAATACATACACACACACACACACACACACACACACACACACACACACACACACACACACATATATATATATATATATATATATATCTGTATACATCTTTTAAAATTATAATTAAATAAAACGTATTCTAACCTAAAGACCTCCCTCTAAGTACTACTAGCACTTAAAAGAATCCAATAAAACACCTACAGTAAAATGAAATTAATATGAAATGCTAGAAGAGGTAAGCTTTTGAATGACCCATGTCCATTGTACTTACATGAGAAACAATATATTACTAGGTTTATATAAAAAATAAAAGTTTACTAAATCAGTGAAATTAAGTAGCTATTTTTACCGTCATTGTCATAAATTTTACTTAAATAATATTTAAATATAATTAAAAAAAAATTGTTACCTTATAATATACATACTTATACGTGATGTGAATATAATTCTACATACTCTAAGTGATTCTAATACATTTAATTGTTCTTAAAACAAATATACTATATTAAAAATTAAAAGTGAAAAAATTTCAAATCGTATTTAAATAAATCGTATTCTAACCTAAACACCCACCCAAAATCTTTAAATATAAAAAAATAGGAAAAAAATGCCGTAAAAATTTTTGCCGTTAACAATAAATTTAAAAAAAATCCAGACGACATGCATTTAACGGATGTCAGATTTCATTGAAAAATACATCCCTACCCCCTACCAAACCGTAACTAATAACTGATACATCAAAATATAGCGATAATGAACACGCAAACACGCCTTGTCTGGTTGAATTGGATTTCTCTGTATCCTTGGAAACGTGAATTATGATTTTTGCTGTGTCTTTAAAACCCAGTAATTTTAAAAGTTACTCCAAAATTCGCTTGAGGATGAAATGGAACTAATGTCTTTAATTTAATTACAAAATTAAATTCGGAGCTTTTAGCTTCCATTTTTGAAACATGGTTAGAACTGTGTAGCGAAAAAAAACATATTTTAAATCAATTAATTTATAATATATATGTGTGTGTGAAAAGTGTGTGTATATAAATATATATATATATATATATATATATATATATATATATATATATATATTATTTATATATAATACGCGCGGTACTTATTAGAAAGCGCTCAATATCAGAGATAGAGCGAACATATTTGGTTGGATACACACTTATACATATGTCAAATCTCATACTGTCCACATAGGTTTTTATATGAGATTTGACATATGTATGTTCTATAGATTTGACATACGTATATATACATATGTCAAATCTCATACTGTCCACATATGTTTATATCTGTATGAAGCCCCGGCGGACAAGCGAGTGTGTATGTGTGTCTGCGTACCTCAATGGGTGTACGGACATGCATCTATGTTTGCGTTAGCATTAGTGACATCACGACGACGATTCCCCCCACCACTTCATAATAACACCAATACACGCAATCTACATAAACCCAAAAATTTTAAAAAATTAATCAGTTTGTCTGACGATCGCAAAAGCGTGAAACCCAGGGTCACAAACTCACATCAATCCAACCAAATATATATATATATATATATATATATATAGAGAGAGAGAGAGAGAGAGAGTGTGAAAAATATTTTCACAAACTTTGGATGCGGCTTCCTGACACATCTTGGGAATAGAAATTGGATCGTTTTTCTTAGTGGGTTTGGGATAAACTTTAAAATCTAATTTCTTATTGTTACGTATTAATAAGATGTCGTGGAAAGGTAGAGAATTGTTTATTTCAAATTTGTGTGTGAATTCAATGCTTCAACCTTATTGAGTTTCATTATTATGTCTACTAGATTTATATTATGTGTATATAAGAAAGCAACGTCAACTGTATAAGTCTTAGTAGAGCTGTTTGTCATGTGTTTAAAAATCGATTGGATTCTAAAAATTCTAGATAAGCTCAATTTTTATTATATTGTTGAAAGAGAAAAATATTTCACTTTCTTCGAAAATAATATGGTACAGTTTAACCCGGATATAAGAGACCCGGATATAAGAGAGATTTTCTCTGGTCCCAAATTAGAGCCTGTGTTAATGTATATAAAATAGACCAAACCCGGATATAAGAGAAACCCGGATATAAGAGACTTCTTTTCCGGTCCCGACAACTCTCTTATATCCGAGTTACACTGTATAACAGATATATGTTGATTTTTTATTTTATTTTGCCAACCGTAATATAGTCTTCTAAAGTACAAGGAAATTAATATACAATATTAATTTTTTATTAAATAATTTTTTTTTGAGAAGTATTAAACTTTTTCTAGTGTATTTTGAATCTTAAGCGATTTTCACTGTCTTCCGGAGTTATATCTATAAATATCTTTGTTTCTGTTTCATCTTTTAAGTAACTCGTGTGAATTCTTTTTATAGTAAAGTAAGTTAATATGATTTAAATCCGATTTATTATACTATTGTGATTGTTACAGTAATTTTATTTTCTTGACGACGGTGTGATTAGGGAAACCATTTTCATTAAGTGTTTGTTTAATATTAAATAATTATTTCTTGACTATTTTTGATTAGTAAATGATTAATTTTGTCCAACTGATTAGGTGATTTTTATGACTATTATCTTTTATTGGTGAGGATATCCGCTTTGATAATTAAGGAGACAAGAGTTAATAGTAATACTAGTGTGATTTTTGCATGCTGAAGTAATAAAATTCTGGCATTATTAATAACGGGACATCGAGTAAAACTGTTATTATTATTATTATTATTATTATTATTATAATAATAAATTTACGACCCTATTACATTGAAACACCGGTTCTCTTACGATCATCGAAGTTAAGCAACGTAGAGCCTGATCAGTACCTAGATGGATAGACGCTTGGGAATAGCAGGTGTTATACGCTTGGATGTGTGGGTAATGTAATGGATAATGGCTCGAAATTGTTAATCAGAGAGCCGAGTTCCAATTCCCGTTGGGTTCGGTATATTCAAATAATTTATTGGGAAATCCACCTATTCCTATGAGTCAATTACTAAGACTTGTAGCAAAAAGAAATTTCATTATCGTCTCAAAAAAAAATTCTTCGAATCTAAAAAATATTTTCTGGCTTTAAATAACCTGCAAAGGGTTGATAAGCCGTAGAAAACGAATCAATCAAATACTACAATTACTAACACTACTACCATTATTATTATTATTATTATTATTATTAACGCTGTGTCTGTATATAAACCATAAAACTAAAAAAAGTTTGCTATACACACGCATACCCACCCACACATATATATTATCACTTAAATGTTAATTTTATTAGGTGCCCACATTTAATTATTATTTACTTATTAAACAATATGTTTATTTATTTTCGTCTACCTGAATATTTAATAAATCTTATTAAAGAAAAATTCTTTAGTTGGTGGCATCAATTTTTTTTACGAAAATACACTTAGTGAGTGTGTCTAGTATGTCAAAAATGTTTATTTTCTAAATAGTTCAAATAGACTAGATAATAATTTGAGAAAGAATCTTCTAGACAGGCTCAAATAGATACGCCGTAAGTTTGTGCGTATAAATGTTGCCTAGTTTAAACTATAAGAAAACTCGTAGAATGCATGCTTCAAGACTCTATCTGCTAAATTTATTTTAGCACCCCAAACAAAGAAAGTAGTTTTATGTGATTAAGGATTTTTTTCCCTTTTTTTTATGACATCATTTCTTATTATTTTGAAAGGTCCCAACGGAAGATTCAACACCATCACTTGTTAAGACATCAGAAGTGTTGAAACAAAATGGCTGTTTTGTAGTGATTTTATAACATATTAATGTTATAATTTTCGGATAAATTATATTTTCTCTACTCTGTAGCGAGCAATCTTTTAAGAATAGTATTTTTGGGTTATTGGAATTTATTCCGTATACACCTATCCTATCCTATATATATATATATATATATATATATATATATATATATATATATATATATATACATACAGGTAGTAATCCGTTGGTATAATCCAGGCGAGTCCTATTAAAACAATATATAATTTGAAATGTGTTAAAACTGACTCACAAAAAGAGCGCTCAATGTTTATTTTCATTAAACAGGGCAAAATTTTTCTTTACATTTGGAATTAAGTTATGAGCATGCGCATTCCACTCCATGCTGATACATTAAACAGTTTGAAAAATCCTGCGAATATTAAAATATTAAAATTCCTAGGTAAAAATGGTCATTAGCTAAAGGTATCTTAATTCCAATTATAAAGAAAAGGAGTGTGTGTGTGTGTGTATATATATACACACACACACTCATATATATATATATATATATATATATATATATGTATGTATGTATGTGTGTGTGTGTGTGTGTAAATTTAAAACGGATTTTTATAATCCAACAGATCTGTAACACTTTAAACGTTATTTCTAGTGGATGCTCATATTTGTGTAGGCGCTTCGTTTATTTATTGTATTGTACTTTTATCTACTATGAATACTCTACTATACTATACTATAGAATCAGCAATGAATACTGCATTAATGTTCTGAAATGCCTGTAAAGGAACAACTTTTTTATGCTCTAATGCGCGCGTGACCATGACATTATAACATAGAGGAAAAAATTCCGTAACGGATAATTTTTTCACGTTCAGCACTTGTCGACGGTTTTGCATTTAAAAGCATTATGAAAAAATTACGGTAATGGATAACAACGCACAACTTTCTATAAATACTTATACTAATACAAACATATAGCTTTGTATCACTTGCACCCTTGAAGATGATCTTGGAAGAAGATCGAAAGTACTTGGAAAAAGAAAATAAAAGAAATTTAAACAGCTATAGAACATTTCTCACATCCTTTAACATCAATACACGGAAAGTTATTCGTGAGTATGAACGGATTTTATTCAAAATTAGCAGCCATAATGCCTGTAATTTATTCAATCAGACACATACACACTCACACACATACACACACACATATATGTGAAATGTGTGTATGTATATAAATAAATTGCATATATATATATATATATATATATATATATATATATATATATATATATATATAATTATTTATTTAGAAATATGATTCCAACACGCTACATAAGAGTTCTCATGTTTCAAAACAAGAGCCGAAAATTCAATATAATTATTTGAATTAAATTGAATTAAAGTAAGCTCTGTATCTGTATCTGTATCGAGCACTATTTTTTTTTTTTTAGATAATAACAAAAATGCTAAAGAACATTGGATTATTTACCTAACGAGTTCTTTCCTATTTTCTATATATTTTCCCCCCCCCACATATATATATATGCAATTTATTATACATATATATTATATATCCGCGGTACTTATTGGAAAGCGCTCAATATCAGTGATAGAGCTAACATATTGGATTGATGTGAGTATATTGGATTGATGTGAGTATATTGGATTGATATATATATATATATATATATATATATATATATATATATATATATATATATATATATATATTCAAAATTATAACATATACATGTTATAACATCACTACGAAAATTGCAATTTGGTTTCAACACTTCTGGTGTCTTATCAAGTGACAGTATTGAATTCAAAATAAAGGATTTTAAAAGTTCAAAAATCAACCAAATCCCTCAGTAGAGGAAATGTTGTTACGTAACCTATAATGACCAATCAGAATACAATTATATGGTAATAGAAAATAATGGGACAATATATCCAAAGTACAATCTATTTGGTCGTTAAGGTTAAGATTAGATTAAATTAGAAATTACTATAACAAATAAAGTTTTAATTTTTACAGTTAAATTTAAAATTAAAACTAACAAATATCAAATTCTAAATTTAACTGAGCATCAAGTTTAATATTATTACAGAATTATTCAGAAATGAAACTAGGAGAAAAATTATTCTTAGAGAAATGCCAATTTATCAGTTAAGTTCGACGCTGATGTAAGAAGTATCTGCAATGTTTATTATTATTATTATTATTATTATTATTATCGAATATTATTATTATTATTATTATTATTATTATCGAATATTATTATTATTATTATTATCGAATATTATTATTATTATTATTATTATTATTATTATCGAATATTATTATTATTATTATTATTATTATTATTATCGAATATTATTATTATTATTATTATTATTATTATTATTATATCGAATATTATTATTATTATTATTTATTATTATTATCGAATATTATTATTATTATTATTATCGAATATTATTATTATTATTATTATTATCGATATTATTATTATTATTATTATTATTATTATTATTATCGAATATTATTATTATTATTATTATTATTATTATTATTATTATCGAATATTATTATTATTATTATTATTATTATTATTATCGAATATTATTATTATTATTATTATTATTATTATTATTATTATTATTATCGAATTATTATTATTATTATTATTATTATTATTATTATTATTATTATCGAATATTATTATTATTATTATTATTATTATTATTATTATTATTATTATTATTATTATTATTATTATTATTATTATTATTATTATTATTATCGAATATCGATATAATTATTATTATTATTATTATTATTATTATTATTATTATTATTATTATTATTATTATCGAATATTATTATTATTATTATTATTATTATTATTATTATTATCGAATATTATTATTATTATTATTATTATTATTATCGATTATTATTATTATTATTATTATTATTATCGAATATTATTATTATTATTATTATTATTATTATCGAATATTATTATTATTATTATCGAATATTATTATTATTATTATTATTATTATTATTATTATTATTATTATCGAATATTAAATCAAATTATTATTGTTATTATTAAAAATTATTATTATTATTAAATTATCAATATTATTGTCAATATTATTAGCAATTTTCAGAAACAATCGTGCAGCAATTTTCGACATGTTTTTGTGTTAATCTTCGATAATAAATAATAATATTTAGCTCTACTCTGTTTTGAGCACTCTTTTATATTAAATTACGGCCAGTGGAATTATAATCTATTTGTTCTTATTTTACCTGGATATTTCGCTCTCTCTACGGTAGAGCACTATTTACATTTATTTATTACTCAAATATGGAAAAAAACAATTTCGGGATTTCGCTAAAAATATTCTCAATAAAAACAAATGAGAATATTTTGAAAAACTGGTTTTGAAGACTGAAGATCTAATTAGAAGAATGAGATGGAAAGCATATTTCTTCCTTCTTGATCAGGGTGTTTCTCTTTCCCAAAAAAAAAAAAAAAAAATGGCGGAAGTATTCTGCTTTTGAACTTAATCGTTCACTCACCAGTAATTTATCATCGCCCGACGTGACACATTAGTAGGGTTGAAACACGATTTTCTATAGTGCGCGATTTTTGACATATTTTTGTGTTTGTCTCCGACAATAAATAATAATATTTAGCTTTACTCTGTATTGAGCCCTCTTTTAAATTCAATGTTACCATTTGTTCTTATCTTACATATATATATATATATATATATATATATATATATATATAAGAGAGTTGTCGGGACCGAAGAAGAAGTTGTCGGGACCGAAGGTTTCTCTTATATCCGGGTTTGGTCTATTTTGTTTCGCTAACACAGGCTCTAATTTGGGACCAGGGAAAATCTCTTTTATATCAGGGTCTCTTATATCCGGGTTACACTGTATATATATATTAAGACATTTTTATGTTTATACATTCTTTTTATAGATACAAATATTTAAGTAAATGCTCCGTTTATAATAAACAGTATAAAACAACATTTACCGGCCTGAATGTCCGAGAAATTTTCACAGAAATATTCGTCCTCCAACAG